AACGCTAGTAACTGAAGAAGTTGGACATGGTCATTCTGGGTGGGAAGAAGACTGGTATTTAAGGACACCTAAGCGGTGGGCTAAGGCACCAGCTCACTGGGAAACTGCAGAGGAACACCGGCTGCTGAACGAGCCGGCAGAGAGATCAAAAGGTCCCCATGACTGGTGCTTTGCCGTCCACTTCCCACCAAGCATACTATACTTCCACACCAAGTTCCCCACTCCTTCCTTTGTATTAGAGTGTTGCCGTAGCTTACCGTGGCAGCATTTTAATACATATTTTATGGTGCCGGCCAGAAGGTGCTGTCTTTCCAACAGACCTAACCATCACTACAGCCCCTAATACCCCACAACAGGTCCTAACCCCCCCCACTATTGCCTCTAACCACCCACTACAGATAATAACCCCCCACTATTGCCCCTAACCACCCACTACAGGTCCAAGGCCCCCCCACTCCAGGTCCTGATGCTCATGACCCCCCCACTCCAGGTCCTGATGACCTCCACTACTGCCCCTGGCTCCCCACCACTGCCTCTTACTCCCCACTACTGCCCCTGCCCCCCTCCCAGTGCAGGTCCTTACTTTCCAGGTGCACACTCTAATGCAATGGTATGTGCATGTCAGCCAGACTGCTATAGAGGCAAGCACTCAGGATACATCCATCCCATCAGGTCAGGTAGTGCACCCTAAGTGTGCAGTGTACATGTGCTCCCTGCCTCTGTGTAACAGCACAGAGCTACATGGAACTGTACAAAATGTGATCTCAGCAGCAAACTGCGGGACCCCAGTAATGATGATTTCAATAAAAATTGAATATGTGATGTCATGACACGGGTTGGATCATAAGGGTAGGACATTATTATGTTACAGCATGGGGTGTAGCAAACCTTCTTGAACCGGCCCTACTGGTATTAAGAATTGCATCTATTCGGTATCTTGGTACTAATGAAACAGGCCTCCCTCTGAGCACATAAGAAGGGAGGAACATGACACTATAGGTTGTCACGGTAAGCAAATGGATACTTTATTGTTGACCTTACCTGGGATGTTAGGTACTGGTCAGATGACGCATGGACACTGCTTACAGGAGCCTTGTAGTTCCCTTTTCCCACCCATCCATGTTGTTATGTTTTATATTCCATCATATTTGCTGGTGTTGTCTGTTCATTCCCTTTGTTTTGTCACAGTCTTCGGTTATCACCACCAACTTGATAAGTAAAGTGCCAGAAAATGTCACTCCTCCTCCCTCAGTAAAGGTAAGAAGGGAGGGGGGACATAAATGTATTTATGTAATTAAATTAAAAAAACATTATTAAAAAGCCCCCTACCCTCCTCCCCCCTCCCCACACACACACACACACACTGACCCAACACACATACTCTGCCCCACACATACACTGCATCACATACACACACACACTGCCCCCCCACACACACTGCCCCCATACATACACTGCCCCACACAAACACTGCCACCCATACATACACTGCGTCACACACACACACACTGCACACCCAGACACACACTGCCCCCCACACACACTGCCCCCATACATACACTGCGTCACACACACACACACACCTGCACACCCAGACACACTGCCCCCCCACACACACCCCATACATACACTGCCCCCATACACACACTGCACACCCGGACACACACTGCCCCCCACACACACTGCCCCCATACATACACTGCGTCACACACACACACTGCACACCCAGACACACACTGTGTCAGGGTCCCGCGGGCGGCTGCGAGGGGAGGCTGCAGTACGCTCGCGGCACTCACCCTCCAGCCGTCCGCGGTCCCCTTCCAGACGTGCGCTCGGCGGGCGGCATCCTCTCTCCCACGGGTGCCGTCCGCCTCTTCCTCTGTGTCCCCCAGCGGCAGCATGCATGACGCTGCACGCTGGGAGACCGCCCATTTTAACAAACACCGGGGTCAGTCACCTGACCCAGCGTTAAAGGCACAGTGCCTCAATCACAGTGGGAGGTTTAGATATCTCCCACGTGTGATTGTTAATTCTGATTAGAAATTATCCAATCAGAATTAACCTTTGGATTTATATACTTACCTTTCCTGTTCCTCTTCGCCCTGTTGTGGTCTTTACCTGCTAGTATTACTACTGAACTTGTGTTTCTGGTTACGTACTCTCTGGCTTGTTTATCCGACTTTGTGACTTTCTCCTACCCTTTGACCCTGGCTTGTCTATCGTTATTCTGTCTTCTGGTTCCCCTCTACTCGGCTTGTTTCCTGACTATTCTTTGTGTGCTTAGCCCGGCCACTCTAAGGTCCGGTACGGCACTTTGTGTGTGTGTGTTGGCGTGTTTGGTTCCCCGAATCGTGACACACTGCCCCCCCACACAGTGCCCCCATACACACACTGCCCCCATACACACACTGCCCCATACACACACACTGCCCCACAAACACTGCCACCCATACACACACTGCACACCCATACATACACTGCCCCACAAACACTGCCACCCATACACACACTGCACACCGATACACATACTGCCCCACAAACACTGCCACCCATACACACACACACACTTCCCCACACATACATACAGTGCCCCCACACACATACAGTGCTCCCCATACACACATACAGTGCTCCCCATACACATATACACTGCTCCCATTGCCCCCCACACACACAGTGCCCCTTATACACACACTTCCCCAAACACACATACAGTGCCCCCCAAAATACACACTGCCCCACACACATATACAGTGCCCCCCATACACACTGCCCCCTAACACACACACTGCAACCCTGACACACACTGCCGCACTCACACACACTTCACCGCACACACACTTCATCGCACACACACACTGCACCTTTCACACACACTTCTCCCCTCACACATACCACTGCTCCTATGCCCTATATCCCAGCAGACCCCAGGTAAGTTGTCAAACTGTTCTTAAACGGTTTGACTACTTACTCTGGGATGGGATCCTGGCTCTACTGGCACCATAACTACTACAATGAGCTGTAGTGATTATTGTGCCTGGATTATTTATTTAAATAATCTACAAGTGCCCCTCCCGAGATCAGGCTCTGGATCCGCCACTGACCTGACTAAGAATGAAATGGTTTATTATTAAGGAAAGAGACAAGGGTATGGGAAGAGGTGGTCTGCGGTCATGTGATTTGGGCGAGTTTGGAAGAATCAGCTTCTATGAAGAAAAGCAAACATTCTCAAATAAGCCTTTTCATTGATAAAATTAATTCCCAATAAATAATACTTCTGTTGTGTGTGACGAAATATAGCTTCAAAAAGCTTTGTTTACAAATATAATGTCTTAAAAGCAATCATATTTTTGTTGCTTATTGGACCTATTTGCAACCACTGAACAAACCACATAGTAATATAATCAGTGAACCATCTTAACGATGGATCATTTTACAGAGGATTGTCTCTTACACTGGAGGTTTTCATTGTAATTTATGGTAATATTTAAGGACATTGCAGACATGCATGGTCTCATTGGGAGCTATTAGCTTTTAGCTACAAATAACATGTTCTGTATTCAATATGAAATTATTTCTGATGCACGTTGAAATATCCTTTTATATTTACTCTTGAATTTGCCAACAAAACAACTTCAGGCAGCTATATTTTTCAACAATTTTCCTTCTAAAACGTGATCAATTATTTTAATAACCAACATTGATCATGCACTCTTATACTGTTTTTGTAGTTATATCAAATAAGCACTTTTCAGTGTGCAATTTCCTGTTAAGATTAATGGCATTACACACATTACATGCTGCAAACTATTGAACTTCTACATCTGTGTGTAATACTGTAGCTGGTATTCCGTTTATGAAAAGAAATGTTCCAGGGGCTATCAATGTTCAATCCCATGTGTATATTCATGTTGGACATCCTGCATCATTGGAGCCAAACATGTATTAATCGAACAATAAAGTTCTTTACATGCTGGCTACATTGATACAAAGCACTTAATCACTCTCCATAGTATATGAAAATAAAGGGAGGATCAGGAATGTTTCAGTCAGAATGATGCTTCAAGGGACACGCATCACTTTGAGACAACTGACTTATCCAAAAGAATTAGCTTTGAATAAGAAAGTTGCCCGACTCTGCAGACTGGAAAAAAAAGTAGGTAAGCATGATTTTTTTTTGTTCATATTTACCTGCTTCTACTTTCTTATGCTTTCCTCACCCACTCCTGGGAGGACACTGATCTAATCAACCAATGTCGTATCCCTAGGAATGCTGGAAAAATGTATTGGGCATGTCTGACAATCACACATGCATCTGGAAGATATATTTCCCCTTGCAACATCCTGACATGGTGGAAAGGGAGGGAGTCTGATCAGTGTAATCACGTAGGGCAGTCTACAGTTTCTATATCCTGCTGCTACACAAATATGCCCCATTTCTGTTAGTAGTAGACGGGTTTGAAACGGAGTAAGGGTGGGTAAAAAGAAAGGGTGAGTGGCTGAAGAAATTCCCCTAGGTGATAGGCGTGCCCACTAGTGCAATCTGACAAAGTTTATAATATGTTTATAAATGTTTATTACATACTTTTCAAAGTTGTTCTTGTTTTATTTTAATTTGTATATTTGTTTAAAAGTATTTGGTTGCTGGCTTAAAACAATTATTGTCAAATGATGCATCCCCCTTTCAATGACTATGTTTAAATTATGACTGATACATTACATTAGACATGTGCAATTCTGTTCAGTCCGAATGGAAATTAGGCCAAATTTCGAATATTCAGACATTTGGATGCTTCCGAATGTTCGAATGTCCGAAGTGCCGAATTGCCAAATTTCCGAACCGAACTGAATTGACGAATTTCCGAAGTGTCGACGTGTCAAATTTTGGAAATGTCGAACAGAACCGTATTGCCAAAGTGCCAAGTTTTGGAAGTGGCGATGTGCTTCGGACTTCTGAAAAGTGGCAAAACGGGTAGGGGTAGGATTAGGGATAGGGGCTGGGGTTGGGGTAGGGTTAGGAGTAGTGTTAGGGGTAGGGTTTGGGTAGGAGTAGGGTTAGGGTTGGGTTAGGAGTAGGGTTAGAGTTGGGTTAGGAGTAGGGCTAGGGTTAGGTTTGGGTTAGGAGTAGGGTTAGGGTAGAGTTAGGAGCAGGGTTAGGCTTAGGGTTTGGTAACCCAACCCTAACCCTACTCCTAACCCCAACCCTACCCTAACCCTACTCCTAACCCTAATCCTAACCCAACCCTAACCCTACTCCTACTCTTACCTCTAACCCTAACCCTAACCCTTCTCCTAACCCAGCCCTAACCCTACTCCTAACCCTACCCCTAACTCTAACCCTACACTTACCCTAAGTGCCAAAGTCCCAAAGTGGCAAAGTGCTGAATTCCTGAGTGCCGAACCGAACCAAATTGCGGAAGTGCCGAATTGCCAAAGTACCGAATTTCGGAAGTGCCGAATTTCAGAATACCAAACCGGACCAAATTTTTTGCCCATGCATATCCCTACATTACATGATCTTTTTCTCTGATCATGTCACAGATTTTTTAAATTGTGTTTATTATGAATTATTTATTATTGTTATTACATATTACACTTTTTGTTTGTTGGGGAAAAACTAACCCAAGCTGATTACAAAATAAATTTATATCACTTGGGCCTCGATCACAGTCTATCATTTCATAATTAGCTATATGTCAACAGCTGTCAATTAGCTGTTAGAATTTTTTTTAACAACAGTTTAGTCATTTTCTATTTAGAACATGAGGGCCTTATACGTAGCCCCTCTACAACAGTAGGCAATGTAAAAAGAGCATAGTACGTCTAAGTTCCCTGTTGTCTCCTGATGCGGGAGAACGGGGAGCAAAGTCAGGACATTTGGACAAGACATAAAAATAGGGATTGTCACGCTGAAATTGGAACTGTTGAGAAGCCTTTTAATATCTTACATTAAGCAGTCAAACTTAGGTAAAAGCAATCATTCCTTATTATAGAGTTTATCGACACATTAACAAATTAATTTTCCCTTATCAAACTCAAAAGACAAATGTACTTGATAAACCACAAATTAACAAACAGTGTAGTTTGGGGGACTAAACTGCCAGACAAAACTCAAAATAGCCATTTATTTGTCATAAACAAGGCAATTTCAGGATATCGTTTTGAGATTGTGTGATTAATTACAATGACAAAAATGGAGTCTATTTTTCCATGTGTTAAATTGATTAAAAATATTAGTTGAAAGAAATAATCATAAATTATGAACATAATTAACAGAATAATTTTAAACAATGTCATAGTACCTAAGAACCAACATGCATTTGTTCAGTTAAACATTAGAGAACAGTACAGTTTTGATAAATTATGGAGATTCACCTTTTAAGATCATGATCCTACAATCCTACAATTATATGCACACCATATATTAGTTACTATTATTTGTCATACAGTACATTATTAAAATGTTTAACTTGTTATTGCATCCACTACAATAATGACATCCCTTATAGTCTTCCATTTTACACTTGATATCATCCTGTACGCTTGAGTTCTATACAATATGACAGTTAATGATTATTGTGCATACTGTATACAAATTGCTATAATTGCTAATTTCCTTGCTTGAAATCCAGATATTGTGTAGTATAATGCTAGTTTAATTTAGTTTCTACTAATGATTTCCCTTGCCAGGCTAACAATAATAATGAACAACTGATGCGAATATTGCTGGTTGACAATGCTTGAAGGAGTCTGACTGCTATACAACCAGCCAATTTTTCCAGGGCAATCCAGTTATCTAATTAATCTCATTAACGTAAATCTATTTGTTTCAATACTTCCTTTGAATTCATTATTTCATTCATTTCATCTTCGATAACTTGCTTGGATTCTGGATATTTGCTCTGGATACAAAGTTGTTGAAAACTATTTGTCCACAAATAATTGTCAAACTGATTAATACAGGGGATTGACAGCTCTAGCCAGTAGAGAGGGAGGACAATATGAAAATAAATGTACAGCTATAATAATGATTGAGTATCTTATCAGACTTACAAAGTTGCCTTGGTAAATTTGGATTTATTTTTTTTCTTTATGCTATTGATACTTTGTGAAATTAAAATAAAATATAATGATTGAACTGTTCGACAGATGAAAAAAAATTCTCACTAGCTCAATTAATTAATCTTCATGATGTTCAGACAGCTTTTGGACTTATATCTAAAACATTACTCAGTCTGCGTAGACTATTCTATCAAGATACAGATTTATTTGTATTTCACTGTACCATGTTTTTTTATTTTTTTTAATTTATTTTTTAATGTATTATTATTTATTTTAAGAATTACAGATTGGCAGCCAAAATACATAAAATAAATGTAAACAGCTCTAGTGAGAAAAGGCATTGCTATAAAAATCATAAACCCCATACTGTGTTTGTCACCATTTGTGAGCTTTTTGGTAATTACTTGAAGGTGCATAAACATTTGGTCTAGAGTATTTAATCTGAAGAGTCAGCTAAGTTGCCAACAGCTTTAAGGGAAATAATTTTAGGTAGAGCAACATGGAAATGAGCATTATCTATGTAAAACTGTGTGTACCCATGCCACTCTAGATATATTTATGTGCAAAATATGGCAATACCTTAAATTACTAGTGAGCTATCTCATTGGTTTATTCTCTAACCGCTCAAATTTAATTGTCACTAGTTTAATTCCCATCAAGGTAAACTCAGCAGTTCAACTTTTTGCAGTCAATAAAGTTCATTCTATTGAGTTGGGCAAAAAAAAAAATTATACAAAAAAATAGCAAATATATTATCACTTGTGAAATAATCTAAAATATTTTTTGAACCACACACTCTGATTCTAGGCCTCAAGGGGAACCATTCAATGGGTGCAAGAATTGAGGAACATACTATCTGAGGGCAGCAGTAAAGTGAAATGTCCATCTAGGCAAATATTTAAAATGTTTAATATTTTTACGAGATAAATGAAACCACAGTTATGTAATCTAAGCACACAGATTATGCCTCTTTCTCTCTTTAAGTATCTCGTTAAATGCTTTCTTTATGGCTGAATAGCTATATTACAATAGGGAAAAAGTAAAAATTATGTCAGGTAACTGTACTTGATTTGGTTCATTTACCTTGCACTTTTAACCACTTAATTCCTTAGTGGTTTAGCTCGTCTTACAAGTTTGGGTAGAATGCGTTCTGTCGTAGTCTGTCATTCAGTGTTTTGATGAAAAAAAGACTCAAGGAGAATATTAATTCCCCTAAGGATACTTCTTGGGCTCTTAAGACAAAGAGTAGCAGTGCACACTTTGTCCCTATTCTGTACTAATTACATTGGTGCTTGCATACATATTTTTGATTTTTTTTTCTGAAACATCTGTTAGTCTCATTAAATAGAACAGTTATTTAGGGCTTCATGATTTATTCTCATTCGTTATTAACATAAAAATTTAAATCAACTTATTTTGTCAAATAAATAACGATTCTAAATATAAAAGATATAAGAAATAATACGATATTTGTAAGTGCATGCACAAAATTTTAAGATGATTTGAACGAGAAAGCAGTTTGCAGTGTTTTGTTGCCTTGTGTCAGTGTGCAATTAGCAAGTTTTTTTATTATTAAGCAAGTGATAACATAAAAGCTGTCCATTTTTTTATTGGCATTATCTCAGACACGGATAGTGGGAAGCGGGCACTGTGGCAAGTGCTCCCACACACCAAGCAAGTACCAAGTCTTTAGCTTTGCCTCACACTATAAGGAAAGCACTATCGCTTTCTTGCTTTGTCCTTATCATTTATAGGAGACTGGGTGGAGATATATCACAACTCCATAGGAACCTTCTCTAATTCCCACTGCCAAAAATTAGGCTTGGCTTCACAGCTACACACAGCAATAGAGACGAGGAAAGGAGGAAGCATGATTGAGTTTAAGGAGGGTCTACAATAGTTTTTTTTAATAATACTGCCATGTTCTATTTACTTTTTTGATGCAATGGATGGGGACAGTAATAAGCAGGTAGAGGAAAAAGGCATAGAGGGGATAATGGCATGGTTACAATGATGTTCTGAAGTGAGTTACAGGGAGCAGTGCACGGGGAACAGAGTTAAATGAAATGTAATATGAACATTAATGGGATAGTCTGAGCACCAAAATAACTTTATCTTAATTAAGCAGTTTGGGTGTATTGATCATTAGTGATGTCGCGAACTGTTCGCGAACTTCCCGCGAACGGCTCGCCACGGTTCGCCACGAACCGTTCGCGTCGAGCTCCGGTCAGCTGACACATCCCGGCCAATCTCCAGCAGACCCTCCCTCCCAGACCCTCCCACCTCCTGGACAGCATCCGCGACATCTCTATTGATCATCACTTTTGAAATCACTTTTGTTTTTTGTTTATGCAGCCCTAGCCACACCTCCCCTGGCTGTGACTGTTACAGTCTCCATGAAAAAAAAACGGTTTTATTTTTAATCAGATTTGATAGCACAATGTGCTTACTTTTTATCTCCTGCTCTGTTAATAGAACCGTAATCACACAGGAGGCTCCTGTAGTCCAGGAGAAATTAAATTCAAAATTAAACAGTCTATGCAGTAAAGAAAGTTTAAGCACTAAATCTCTCTTTACAGAAAACAAGTGATTTGACGCCTAAATGGCAGTGAGACTGCAGAGACGTAATTTATACATCAAACTGTGTCACTAAGCTAAAGTTGTTTTAATGTCTATAGTGTCCCTTTAATGGGGGGTAGTGTGATATTAGCAGGAGTGCATTGGTTTAGCCAAGTGGGAATGGGCACCAAGGAAGTGACAAAGTAAGTGCTGTTTGTAATTTGGGTTTTAGTTCACCACAAATCACTGCTTAGTGAATAACCTCTTATGTCTGTGCTTGCTCTGTTAATCATTTTCCAGCTATAACAGTCAGTACACCAACATTTTAAATTTCATTAGAAAACAGACAATATATAAGAGCATTAAAATCTTTCCTTCCATATACTACAAGGGTCTTTCTTTCTACCTTGCCGCAACAAAGCAATTTGGTTTAGTGCCACACCTGAAACTTGGTTCTTGTTCCATTTTCAGCTCTCTTTACTAACTCTTTAAGACATGCTGTAACAGATTTTACAGAGAGATTCTCTCTAATTTCTAGTGCATGAATCAATAATTGTAGGTTTCCAAAAACTAGGTTATTTGTAGATGTGAGAACAGACTCAGCAACTCCTAGCATTCACATGTGGCCATCCTTGTAGCTTCTAGCCTGTGCCCATAACCAAAATGGTAAAATTTAGAACACAAGGACCATGTA